TGTCGGATCTATTAGTATAGAATATAAATATCTTAATACAATAATTAAGTAAATGAGATGAGGTATATATTAACCAGTGTGATATAAGCATTCCTAATTCTATATGAAATCAGCACATCATACCCCATAAATGCATTAATGTAACAAAAAAAAAAAAAGATTCCATCTGTTGCTTGTTACCACATAGAGAGGCTGCAGTAGGCCTAAGTCACCTCTCCTATGCAGCTCTATAGGCTACAGTCTTACAGTTGGATTTACCATGGTGAAGGGTGTTTGCTTTTTGTTGTTGTTGAGACAGAGTTTCACTCTGTCTCCCCGGGGTTGAGTGTCATGGCTTCATCACAACTCACAACAACCTAAAACTCCTGGGTTCAAGCAATCCTCCTGCCTCAGCCTCCCAAGTAGCTGGGACTACAGGCCCCCACCACAACGCCTGGCTAGTTTTTTTGTTTTTAGTAGAGACAGGGTCTCCCTCTTCCTAAGGCTGGTCTTGAACTCCTGAGCTCAAGCAATCCACCCGCCTCTGCCTCCCAGAGCGCTGGAATTATAGGTGTGAACCATGGAACCCAGCCAGCAGTTTGCATTTTAAGTTGTGATAAATATTTCCAGGTTGCTCCCCGTAAATTAGGTTTTTCTCTCCCTCCTGCAACATATGAGTATGACTGTTTCCAAGCCAGTTTTTTGATCCTTGCTAACAATGGGTGAAAAGTACAGCTTGTTCTTCCTGATAACATGATATCCACGCCTCTCTGCCCCTCCCCCCGCCCGCCTCTCCAGAGCAGTAGTCCAGCACTTGCCCCATGCCTCACACCTTGAGGTTCTCCTACTGTGACTTTACATTTTCATCTACCCTCTTCATCCCAGAAAACAATTTCTTTTCTAAGTTGGCAGAATGTGGTCTCTCAATCTTAACCTTCTGTGGACTCCATTTTCAGGCCTGGAATGCCAAACACCAGCTTCTCTGAGTGCAAGGGTTCAGGCTCACTCTGTGACTGTCATTCCATCCTGGATGAGTTTGTGACTGTGCTTTATGTGTGTCCCTTTTCTGCCATCTCAGAACTGCTGCTGTTCCTTTGTTCCTAAAATACCACCCCCACATGACTGTATACAGTGATATATTACCCAAAGGTTCAAGATAGCAAAGCAAAACTGAAGATGAAATCTGAGACAGCCAGGTTTCCCGAAGTCCCTTGCCACCTTCTCCCCAGAGTTTCTCACAGTCTCCTTTCTTTGCAGGCTTCAGCCCCACCTCATAATGTGTGTGCACGTTCCTTCCCTGCTCTCTTTCTTCTTCATTTCTCTGCCTCCTACTGGTTCCTACCCCTAACATTTTAGCTGCACCAGAGAACAGTCCAGCCATCTCTGTGTTTTGCAGTTTCCTTTCAGAACATGCCTTGAAGAGGCTTATATAAAAAGGTCTAACAAGTAATTTTCTCAAAAACAAAGGTCTTTCCCTAAAAGGAACTCAACTAAGATACTGGTGTTTTCTCTCATATCTTGTCCCCATATGTCACTTTCACCATGAGCAACATCTGAACCAAACCCTAAAGCAGTTCATAATTCAATCTGACATACTCTGCAAGCCACATTGTGCCTAGGTTTGTGGATATCATTAATAAAATGAAAAACGGTGTTTTGGCTTGGTGCTGGCCACATACACTGGGACGGGCTGGTTCGAGCCCAGCTCGGCCCAGCCCGGCCCTGCCCGGCCTGCTAACAACAATGACAACTACAACAACAAAAAAATAGTTGGATGTTGTGGTGGGTGCCTGTAGTCCCAGCCACATGGCAGGCTGAGGCAAAAGAATTGCTTAAGTCCAAGAGTTTAGGTTGCTGTGATCTGTGATACCACGGCACTCTACCCAGGGCGGCCTAGTGAGACTCTATCTCAAAAAAAAAAAGGGGGGGATTTTGGCTCATTAGATAATGGAGCTATTTATCTTGTAGTTTTTTTGAAGTTAGTAGAAGCTAATACTGGTTGCTGTCGGGAATGTAGTGATTTGCCGGCCTCAGGAATGCCATAGTTAACCCAATAAGGGAATTGTGTATCTCCTTTTCTTGGTTAAAAGGGAACCAAATAGTTGATCAAGGAAATGTGTTTTGGCTGCACAGAGTTCTCTAGAGACTGTCTTACTGCTTTTTGGTAATGAGACTGTCAAAAAACTAAAAATAAAAACTATGGTGGCTCATGCTTTTATAATTCCAGCCCTCTGAGAGGCCAAGGCAGGTGGATCAACTGAGCTCAAGAGTTTAAGACCAGCCTGAGCAAGTGCAAGTCCCTGTCTCTAAAAAATAGAGGTCCATCTATTTTTTAAATGGGTGCCTGTAGTCCCAGCTACTCTGGAGGCTGAGACAGGAGAATCATTTGAGCCCAGAAGTTTAAGTTTGCTATGAGCTGTGACACCACAGCACTCTACTGAGGGCAACAAAGTGAGACTCTGTCTCAAAAAAATAAATAATAATAAAAAGCTAAACTTGTGCCCCTAAAAGGACTGCCCAGGTGACATTGCCTGAGCTGGGCACCATGGCCACTACTGCTTATGCTCTTCCCTGCCACCCAGAAGAGGAGCTTGGAACTTTGTTTCCCAGAGTCCCCTTTTATATGTGAAGTCTGCCAGGTAGAAGCACTTCCAGGAGACTCGGAAGGCTGCAGAAAGAGAGACTGCTGCTCATGGGAGATGGTTCTGGTCGGTTCTGGTCGGGCGGTGCCAGGGCTAGTGTGTGGTTAAAAGCAGCAGCAGCGGCTCAGTTCTGTGAATGGCTCTCTGAAGCCATAGGCTGAGAGGCGCTGCAGGAGCTTCCCACGCAGTATAGCTTCCAGGCAAGCTCGGGAGAGTTACTGGCTTCAGGATTTCAGGAAGATGGTCAGTGCTGCTTCTCTAGCTTTAGCTTCCCAGTGGTTACAGGGGGTTTGTGAGCCTCTAATGCCCTGTATTAAAACTCTTTGTACTTATACTACACCGAATGGTTTCTCTTTTCCAGACTGAACCTTAACTGCTGCCTTGTGGGGTTTATAACAAATGCAGAAGTCAATTGTATAATAACAGTACAAGGTCAGAGAGACAGGAAATGGAAGTATACTGTTGTCAGGTTCTTACATGTGAAGTGGTATAAGTATTACTTTAAGATAGACTGGTAAGGGCGGCTCCTGTGGCTCAAAGGAGTAGGGCACTGGCCCTATATGCCAGAAGTGGCGGGTTCAAACCCAGCCCCAGCCAAAAAAAAAGATAGACTGGTAAGTAAAATACATATCTTTAGTATAAAAGACTTAAAATGTATGAGGAAACATGTACTGCACTAATGTTGATCAGTGGAAGTTGGAAATGGATTATTAATATAAGACAAAATAATACAGGGAGCGTGGAGGGAGAAGGGAGAGGGGAGGGAGAGGGGAGGGGGGAATGGGTGGAGGGAGGGGGATTGGAGGGATCACTTCTGTGGTTTATCTTACAAGTGTACAAGTGAATCTTTCTAAGAGTAGAATATGAACGTTTTAACACAATAACTAAGAAAATGACATGAAGGCTATGTGAACCAGTTTGATGGAAGTGTTTTGGATTGTGTGTGAAAACACCACACTGTACCCCCAAAGTGCATTAATGTACATAGTTACCATTCAATAAAAAAGAAAAAAATATATATAAGACAAAATAAATTACCAGGCAGGCTGGTCTGAGTGCAGTGGTGTTTACAACTAATTAATCACAACCAGTTACAGATTCCTTTGTTCTTCTTCACTCCCACTGCTTCACTTGACTAGTCTAAAAAATAAATAAATAAATAAATTACCAGGCAAAGACTATTACCAGGAATAAAAATGGTTATTTTAGAATGATAAAGGGGTCAGTTAATTAAGAAAACATAACTGCCCTAAACATAAATATACCTAATAACAGAGTTTCAAAATATATTAATCAAAACTGACAGAACTGAAAGGAGAAATACACAAATCTACAATTACATTTAGAGATTTTATTACTCCTCAATAATGATTAGAAGAAGTAGACGGAGCATCAGTGAGGATATGGAGGACCTGAGCACTGTCACCCGGCCACCCAACACGCTTTTCTCAGGTGTGCTCCGCACATTTACCAAGGCAGCCCATATTCTGTGTCATAAAACATGTCTCAAACAATTGAAAAGAATTCGGATCATTTAAAGAATGTTCTCTGACCACAGTGAAATTAAATGAGAAATCAGTAATAGAAAAACATCTGGAAAATACCCAAATATTTAGAAGAAATCCCAGACCAAGACTAGGGCAGTGGGCACAGAAAGAGGGGCAGAATCAGTGGGAAGTGGCAACTGAGGTGACACATTTCTGTGCTCAGAGACTTCCAAGAAGAACTAGGTTTAAGGAGTATATCGAGATAATTTTTATCAGTCTTGATTATATTGAGTATATAAAAGTATAATTTTTAAAAATTGAGTTTTTGCTATAATGCTATTCACGTATGGCCTCTAGCAGTGCACTTAACTAATATTTAGGGTACTGTAGTGGAGAGGGAATAAGGTTTGCTGGACCTCAGAAGGCCATAGTAAGGAGTTAGACCATGTGGGTCCCAAGCTGAGTAAGGTGACCAGTTGGGGTTTATCCATGTTCCTTTGTCAGCATCTGTGTCCTCCAAACAATTCCCAGCAGTATCAGATTTGCACATCCACAGGACATAAGTAGCAGACCCTGAGCTGAGTGTGTCTTAAGATAACTCCTCATCATTGGAGAGGGGTGGGTGAAGTGGAGAGCCAGGGGGGCACCTTTTCCATGAGTGCGCTGTGAAGCACTTTCAGGACTGTTTTGGTGGAGCTGATTCTCTCCGAGCCCACGTTTGGAACCCTTATTTGGGGGAATGTCTTACCCTGCCCTCACTGCTACAGTTTCTTATGTGTTCTGGGTTGGCTGCTTTTCTTGCTTGTGGGGACACTGACTGTTCCTTTGTTTTGCTGTTCTCTAGTAGATACTTGGACTGTTTCAAACCCCAACTTGGTCTCTTGTGTTTCAGACTGAGAGGAAGTTTGGCGTGGTGGTTGTTGGTGTTGGCAGAGCTGGCTCCGTGCGAATAAGGGACTTGCAGAATCCGCACCCTTCCTCGGCGTTCCTGAACCTGATTGGCTTCGTGTCCAGGTGGCTTGCACTTGCTTTGTGCCTCATAATTCATGGGAAGCCCCGTGAGGCAGATTAGGCTTTAGGGCATGGTGATTTTACAGACCCTGGAAGAGAGAGGCAGCTGCCTGCCAGAGAACTATGCTTAGAGTCAACCCATGAGATCTCAAGTTTGGGTGGGTCTGGGAACTGAAGTGTGCTGGGCCTGCAGTTGGTATGTGCAGTGGGTCAGCCAAAGACAAAGGCTGGAAGACTGGCCTGGAAGAAGGCTGTAGACGTGTACCAGTTAGTCCTCATATCACTCATCATAGCAGCTGCCCAGGTGGTGACCCTGGGCTTTACATACACTGTGTCATTCTACATACCATTGTCAACCCCAGTTTATAGGTCAGAAAAGCTGAGCCACAGAAGGGTTAGGTAATTTACCTGAGGTCACATAGCTGGAAAGTCTGAGAGCTGAATTTGAATATAAGTCTACTTATTCCAAAGTCCATCTTTAAGGATTCATTTCTTTCCTACCCCAGACACCACTCTCCCCTTAACCCTATAACACACACACACACACACACATACCCCACTCACCCAGCTTATCTTATATAGCATCATCATCAATGTTAATTGTGAACTAGAGCAGGCTGAGACATGGTGGTAAGCAAGTTAGGCAAGTCTCTCTGTTCTAGTACTTTAAGACCTCAGATAAATACACAAAGCTTAAATAACTATTGTGATGGTCCATGCAGAAGTTTTTTGATATTTTAATTCATGGGACCACTTTCTTCCTGCCTGTCTCAAAACCGGGACACTCCTTTAAGGATTCAATGTGGGCTTTGAGGCACTGGGGAGACCCGGAAGTGCTAGAATCTGCCTTGGCCCATCTTTTCCTCCCATAAGATTCCAAGGGAGCTGCACACAAATGAGAGATCACAGTTAATGGGAGCTACACAATCCATCCATTGATGGAATCCACTGCAACCCCCACGCCACCCCTGCCTGAAAGTGGGCTCAAGCCCAGTATTTGAGCTCCACGCTGATGTGGGAGGACCTCTCCTTTTTCCTCAGGCCTCGAGTCTGCCACTTGGCTGCCAAGATCTACACAGTGGGAACATTTAAAGTACCCACATCATTGGCTCAGTGCCTATAGTTCAGTGGTTAGGGCACTGGCCACATACACCTAGCCTAGGCCTGCTAAACAACAACGACAACTACAACAAAAAAATAGCCAGGTGTTGTGGTGGACGCCTATAGTCCCAGCTACTTAGGTGGCTGAGGCAAGAGAATTGCCTAAGCCCAAGAGTTTGAGGTTACTGTGAGCAGTGATGCCGTAGCACTCTACTGAGGGCAACAGTGAGACTCTGTCTCAAAAAAAAAAAAAACTACCCAGGTCATGTGGGAAGATGGCCGTATCATACCCCCCACCATCATTATACTGTTTGCCTCCTCTTGTACCCTTCCCCCCCCTTGACCTACCTGCTAAGTTCTGCCACCCCAGGAAACCTTCTCTGAAGCCCCAGACTAGATGTGTTCCTTGCCTTCCCTGAGCCTCCACCCCCTGCTTCCCAGCACACTTCTCTTTTTTTTTTTTGAGACAGAGCCTCAAGCTGTCCCCCTGGGTAGAGTGCTGTGGCATCACAGTTCACAACAACCTCCAACTCCTGGGCTCAGCGAGTCTCTTGCCTCAGCCTCCCAAGTAGCTGGGACCACAGGCACCCACCACAACGCCCAGCTATTTTTTGGTTGCAGCCATCGTTGTTTGGTGGGCCCAGGCTGGATTCAAACCCGCCACTTTATGTGTATGTGGCTGGCGCCTTAGCCACTTGAGCCACAGGCGCCGAACCCCTAGCACACTTCTCATGTTATTAGTTTTGTCCTGGTGTTTTGTGCATGCTTGTATGTACATGTGTGTGTGCCAGATCCTGAGCTCACTGGACAGTGAGGATTTTAATTCATTCTCCATGATTTCTAGTGCCTAGCACACAGTACAGAAACAGTAAGTATTGGTCAAATTGAGCGGTATAGGCGGGTGGCCCCATAAAAAGAAACCTAATGTAATATCCTTGGGAGCCAAACTCCCTAAATGCTTTGTGCCTGCTGTAGCCCACGGGGTGCTGCAAGCTGGCCAGGGACCTCCTGCCTCCTGCCTGCTGGCTGTCCCACATTTTTCCATGACAGCCACCTTTGAAGGACTTCTGTCTTGCCCCAGCCTCGCACAGAGCCAGCATATAGACTGCCAGGGCTATGGCTCTTCTAAAACTAAAGCTCCTCCATGCTCTGTAAGTGTCAGAAAGCCTGAGGTTACCATCCTGCCTCTGCGCCTTGTTGAACATGGCAGTCACTTCCTCTCCAAGCTTTGTTAGCTCTCCTATAAAGGAGACAGTGACACATGCCTTCCAGTTGACTGTTAACTAGGCCAAGGAGTATGTGAGAGAGCCTAACGTCTCATGACACTTTGCTCCCCACACATGGTGGTTGTGTTGCATTTAGATCATGATGTTTAGTCAAGTGCTTGGAATTGGAAGTAACCATGGAGATCATTTACCATGAGATAAAAGCAGATTGTTCTTTGTATTTTAGACATAAAGTAATTCATAGACTCTCCAGGGCATAAACGGTTCTAATGGTAGTGTTGACTTTTGGTGCCAGGTCCCCTGACTTCAACATTGAGGCTATTTTTCTCAATGGAAAATAGTCTGGAATTGGGAGATAGGAAATCATTTTCTTCATTTCCAAAACCTGATCACAGGACATTTTGGGGAGGAGGAGAGAAGGATGGTGCTCATTTATTCTGAGCCAATATTCTGCCTATGTTTGAGTTCCATTTCTCTGTTTTTCTGAAACAGACGAGAGCTTGGGAGCATTGATGGAATCCAGCAGATTTCTTTGGAAGATGCTCTTTCCAGCCAAGAGGTTGAGGTCGCCTATATCTGCAGTGAAAGTTCCAGCCACGAGGACTATATCAGGTGGGTTTTCAGTGCACACGGTCTTCACCTTGCACTGCAGTGCAGGGCTGTACAGGTGACTGAGCTGAAACCCTGCAAAGAGAGGGGTCTGAGTAGTCAGTCAATGGGGAAAATGATAGTTATTCTTTGACCAATCACAGAAACATCAGAAATATTTTTAAAAACTGAGAAGTCTTATTGTTGGTTATAAATGTATAAGGAAGGCCGGGCACAATGGCTCATGACTGTAATCCTAGCACTCTGGGAATCTGAGGTAAGTGGATTGCCTGAGCTTATGCATTTGAGACCAGCCTGAGCCAGAGCAAGACCTCGTCTAAAAATAGCTGGGTGTTGTGGTGGGCACCTGTAGTCCCAGCTACTTGGGAGGCTGAGACAAAGGAATCACATAAGCCCAAGAGTTTGAAGTTGCTGTGAACTATGATGCCACAGCCCTCTACTGAGGGCAACAACAAAAAAAAACTGTCTCAAAAAAAAGTATAAGGAAATAAAAAATAACAAAACTAATTTTTACTTAGTATGCTGTAATTTGAAACATTAAAAATTAAGTACAGAGTGGACATAAAGTTCATATGCAATTTAAAATAATTTAACAGGCTGGGCACCTGTAGCTCAGTTAGGGCACTGGCCACATGCGCGGTCCAGGGCTGGTGGGTTCAAACCCAGGCCTGCTAAACAAAACAAACAAACAAACAAAATAGCTGGGCATTGTGGTGGACACCTGTAGTCCCAGCTACTAGAGAGGCTGAAGCAAAAGAATAGCTTGAGCCCAAGAGCAGAGGTTTTTGTGAGCTATATTGCCATGGTACTCTACAGAGGGTGACAAAATGAGACTCTGTCTCAATAAATTAATTATAGCTGTCATTAATTATTTAATTAAATTAAGTAATTTAATGTAGTAAATTGCACATGAACTTTATGTCCACTCTGTATTTCATTTCTTTGTTAAAAAAAAAAAACCTACCAGAATAGTTTTGAACAGTGCTTTCCCCCTCCCCATCCAGTAGCCCTGGATATGGGGCCAGCATCCTAGGTGAATTGTCACACACCTTTCTAAGTGTGGATCAGCTGCCAACATTTTATCCTTGGTACTTACAACGTCATGAAATATCTCTGAGAGTTCCTTTAATATGAAGTGCTTTTACTGTAAGAAAAGTCAGTTAGGAAATAGTGGTGGAATTGAGGAAGGAAATGACATCTTTTCTAAAGTTGAAGAAGTGAAGTGTCCCCCTTCCCCACCTTGCAAAAGCAAAGCCTGGAGCTCTTGAAGTATTTGGTAGGAGGAGGAGCCCCGTGCAGGGCCTGGCAACCAATAGGGAGATGCCAGCTGCCTCCCTGAACCTCTGCTTCTGCCTTCCTGAACCTCAGCTGCCTTCTAAGCCCTTACATTAAACTACAGCTGCTGCGGCAAGACTGCTCCCAGGGCTAAGGTGCTCCTTCTGCATCACTGTAGTTCTAGAGTGGACGAAAACACCTTTCCTTGGGTCCCTTTAACCTTCTCTCACCAGAATGCATTTCCTTAAAAAAGTGTGATCATGTAACTTTCATACTTATAAATGTTTGTGCCCTGGTGTGTAGAGAATTAAATCCAAACTCCTGAGCACAGCAGTATTAGGTCTTTCACAGTCAAGCCCCCAGCTTACTTTTTCTACCTTGTTTCCCTCAACTTCTTATAGCTCACTCACTTCCCTGCATTGAAATTTGCAAATGGACAAAGCCCCCTAAAATGCCCAAGCCCTTACCCATACTGTTCAAAGTGAAATACATCATCTCATTGCAACTGGAAAGCACCCACTTATACTTCAAAACCCAATTCATATGTCCTCAGTGAAGTCTTTTCAGACTGCTTCAAGCAGAGCTAGCTGCCATGTAGTCTTTGGTGATAGCTGTCATGTAGTAATAGCTAATTTATTTATTAATGTGCCCTTATTTCCCCTCCAGAGTAACTGGTAAATAGTACTTAGTTGAATAAACGAATGAATGAATTCGTATGAGTACATAACTATTATAAAAGTCATTTTGTCGCAAAGCAACAGAAAATAATGTAGAAATAATTCTTTCTCTGTGTCTTTTGGCACTGACTCTTAACCCCAGTCTTGACACATTGAATTCCAGAGACACTTGTACATTTATACACGTGGCGTTCTATTTGCTGTCATGCAGAGCATTTTAGTGAAGCTTAATTGAAATGTTCTTTCCCTGTACTTATCTCTTTTACCAAAGGCAGTTCCTTAATGCTGGCAAGCACGTCCTTGTGGAATACCCCATGACACTATCTTCAACAGCAGCTCAGGAGCTGTGGCACCTGGCTGAGCAGAAAGGTGAAGTACACTCTGTCTGGAACACAGACCTTCTTACTAAGATTTTCTGCCTTCCAGAGTTTCTGTGCTACTGTCTTTATGCCTTTAGGACTAAACCCCATCTCAGATGTATTACCATCCTCACCCGTCATTGTAGGCATACACAGGGAGGTTTGTGGAGGACAGAGAGATGGGGGCAGGAGGAGCAGGCATTTGCACACTTTTAGTCAAGATTATGAGCTTCTTTTACTCTAATGAAAAAATATGAATTAGCTTCCACCTGTGCTTGTGTCATTACATTATTTAGATGTTATACTTACATTTTGATATTATACTTCCATTGCTAGTGAAAAAATCTAAATGAAAGAAATTGTCTTACATGCATACTTTGTAGTTTTGTTGTTTCTCAAGTGCAACAACCATTTATAAAATATTTTATATATTCTAGGAACATGGAAACTGTACTGAGCACTTCGTATGTTACTTTGCTTACTTTTCTAGAAACCCTTAGAGATGGATATTTTTTCCTAGCTTACTTATAAAAAGCCATGGCTTGAAGAAATAAAATAATTTGTGTCTGGGCACAAAACTAATAAAATGAGTACTAAGTGGGAGGTAAAGATTTGAATCAACTGCTATTGGACTTTGAAGTTCTTATTTGTTCCCCTAAGCAACACTGAGGTTGTTTTTTTTTTTTTGAGACAGAGCCTCAAGCTGTCCCCTTGGGTAGAGCGCCGTGGCATAGCTCACAGCAACCTCCAACTCCTGGGCTCAAGCGAGTCTCCTACCTCCACCTCCCAAGTAGCTGGGACCACAGTCACCCACCACAACGCCTGGCTATTTTTTTTTCAGTTGCAGCCATTGTTGTTGTTTGGTGGGCCCAGGCTGGATTTGAACCCGCCACCTTAGGTGTATGTGGCTGGCACCTTAGCCACTTGAGCCACAGGCGCTGAGCCCACACTGAGGTTTTAATGTTTGTTTTGTTTTGTTCTCTCTTGCCTCAGCCTCCCAAGTAGCTGGGACTACAAGCTCCTGCCACACCACCCAGCTATTTTTTTATTGTAGTTGTCACTGTTTTTGGCAGGCATGGGCCAGGTTCAAACCTGCCAGCCCCGGTGTATGTGGCTGGCACCCTAGCCACTGAGCTAGAGGCGCTGAGCTGGTTTTAATGTTTTCACAGTAACTGGACAAGCCTCTCTATGTAGTCAGTAAGAATTAACTAGAATGTTTAGAGATTAGGAGAATTTGTTAAATGAAGTTTAAATCATAAACTTTAATGTTTCAACATTTGTTGTTGAAAATCTGTAATATATAGGCTCAGCGCCCATAGCTCAGTGGTTGGGGCACTAGCCACATACACCAAAGCAGGCAGGTTCAAACCCAGCCCAGGCCTGCTAAGCAACAATGACAAATGCAACAAAAAAAATCGCCGGGTGTTGTGGCAGGCACCTGTAGTCCCAGCTACTTGGGAGGCTTCGGCAAGAGAATTGCTTAAGCACAAGAGTTTGAGGTTGCTGTGAGCGGCGATGCCACAGCACTCTTACAAGGACAACAAAGTGAGACTCTGTCTCAAAAAAAAAAGAAAGTCTGTAATATGTAAACAAAGTGTGGTGACCAATTATAATGAAAATCACCAAAGAAAGCATCTTCTGCTCACCAGCAGTGTAGGCTGATTATACTTCATTGAAATTCCTGATTGTCTTTCTCTAACATGGGGCTGGGCTCCTGGAGGTCATGGTCCATCTTTCACCTCTTATTATCCCAGCAGCTAAACTCTGCCTGGAACTTAATAGCCACCAGATGGATAAATGAATTCAGAAGTGAATGAAAAAATCAGGGAGTTTGGGGGCCTGTAGCAGCCCGTATAGCTTATGGCTAGGAGTGAGAGTTACAAGAAACAACTGTAGAGCTCAATAATGGAACACTTTGGTGAAAGGGGCATGGAGAGGGATTTAGCTCTCTTAACAACCATGAGAGGTCGCGAGAGGAGAGCATTAGTGAATTGGCAGTCTCTACACCTGTGGTGTTAAGAGTCCCGAGATCAGCAGCACAGGACCTCTCTGCTGAAGATTACCAAGCTCTGCTACAGACTGCTAACAATCTATTCTAAGACTGCTTTACTCCATCAAAGACTCTCTCTCTCTCCATTTTGCTGAAGCAAATAGCCCTCAGGCACCTAAGAGCAATTGTTCCTGAGTGATATAACAGCATAGCATCCCATCTGGACATAGCTAGATAAGCAAGGGGCCGAGACCTGGCCAGTCCCAGGCCCTGACAAGTGATGACCACAAAGGGACCCTGACAGGAGCCATAACCTTTTATATTATTTCTCATGGTACAGATGTCCATGGAGAAAGTACAAGATACCAAAGTGTGCTTCCATACATCTTTTGCTAATTTCAAAGGGAAGAAATTGTACTTTTTTTTTTTTTTTTTTGAGACGGAGACTCAAGCTATCCCCCTGGGTAGAATGCCATGGCATCACAGCTCGTAGCAACCTCCAACTCCTGGGCTCAAGCGAGTCTCCTGCCTCAGCCTCCCAAGTAGCTGGGACTACAGGCGCCCGCCACAACGCCTGGCCATTTTTTTGGTTGCAGCCATCATTGTTGTTTGGTGGGCCTGGGCTGGGGATTCGAACCCACCACCTTAGGTGTATGTGGCTGGCGCCTTTGCCACTTGAGCCACAGGCGCCGAGCCAGAAATTGTACTTTTATAATGAGCTCTGCTATCAACATTCTAAGCAAATGATTGCCAATATGAGTTAGCCTGACATCAAAAGCAATCTGGTTTTCATGACAACACAGCATTACCCAGGAAATGTTCTTGCTAAATGTTTACCTTAATGTAACTAAGATTTAAACTGAACTTTGAATTCACAGGAAGTACAGAGATAGAAGAGCAAGTTAAATGACATCATAAAAATATGGAGCAAACTAGAATGTGGAACACTCAACAAGATAACAGACTAAGTTTCTTCAAAAAGATAATTCCCTAGTCTACATATATAGTAACTTTCTTCCCAAAAATACAGCACTGAAATGGTTGGGAGGAGAGTAACTTTACACTGAAGGAGCCAGACAAACCTTATTTCAGCAAGAAGATCAAGGTCAACATCAGTAATAATAAATCATGTTAACAGCATGTACTATTGATATAATGAAATGAGAGTGGCCCTTCTGCAGCCTTCCTCCCCAAAACACACAATCCCAGTCTAATCATGAGAAGTATATAAGACAAATCCTAGTTGAGATATTCTTCCAAACACCTCACCAATACTCAACAGAACTATCAAGATCATTAAAAACAAGGAAAATCTGAGAAAATTTCTAAGCCCAAGAACTTAAGGAGACACACAGTAAGTGTAATTTACAATCCAGATGGGATTCTAACACAGAAAAGGCACAGTAGATAAAAACTAAAGAAATCTTAATAAAGTATGGACTTTAGTTATCTTCTTAATAAATGAGACCAAAATGGGAAACCAAAATCAAGGACCAGTGCCATATTGGAACCTTGGTGTTAGTCCCTTAAGCAAGCAGAATCTGGGTAGGTATTTACATACCATGAATGGCTGAGAAAGAAAGAAGCCCTTAACAGTGAAAGTGGCCTTTATTCTTTAGGACGAATTCATTACTCATGTAGCTTTTACATGATAGTCACCATTTTTTTTTTTTTTTGCTTTGTTCTATTTATTTCTTTTTGAAAGACAAGGGAGGAGGTAAAAAAAATTGTTTTCCTTTAAAGAGCTTTTCTTAAAGAGTGGTGATTCATTTTCATTACACATCAATATGAACAGATATTGTTCTTTTGGTTTTCATGACAATTAAATTCAAGATAATATGTGTACTATACTTGCATGTTTTTCTGAAATCCAGTGTATTCATTTGTGCTCTTGTTCATGGAAGAACTGGTACTTTGGCTTCAAGAGCTAATTTTAAAAATCACAAATCCAACTTGTCTTTGATTTGGTTCTGGGCTAATTATTAATGAGCCAGTCATCCTATAAAACTGCAACTAATTAAGAGTCCACTGACTCTAAGAACTATACCACCAGTAACAGAAGGAGAGAAGAATTCCAAGTCTGCATGCCAAATTTGGAGCAAAATATCTGTAATCTTCTCACTCTTATATTATTTATAAATAGGGGAGAGGGAATAAGAATTATATGAATAGAATGCAAACTAATACGTTCCTTTTGGAAAGATGTCTGGAGAACACTTAGAGAACTAAAAATAGACCTGCCATTTGATCCTACAACTTCTCTACTAGGTATATATCCAGAAGACCAAAAATCACACTACAGCAAAGATACTTGTACCAGAATGTTTGTTACAGCCCAATTCATAATTGCTACATCATGAAAGAAGCCCAAGTGCCCATCAACCCACAAATGGATCAATAAATTGTGGTATATGTACACCATGGAATATTATGCAGCCCTAAAGAAAGACGGAGAATTTACCTCCTTCATGTTTACATGGATGGAGCTGGAAAATATTCTTCTTAGCAAAGTATCTCAAGAATGGAAGAAAAAATATCCAGTGTACTCAGCCCTACTATGAAAGTAATTTATAGCCTTCATATGAAAGCTATAACCCAATTATAGCCCAAGAATATGGGGAAAGGGGAGAGGGAGGGGAGGGGAAAGGCTGGATGGAGGGAGGGCAATTGGTGGGACCACGCCTATGGTTCATAGGGTGAACCCTATAAGGGTACATGTGAATCTTTCTAAATGTAGAATATAAATGTCTTAACACAATAAGAAAATGACATGAAGGCTATGTTACCGGTTTGATGAAAATATTCAGATTGTATATAGAACCAACACACTGTACCCCATGACTGCATTAATGTACACAGCTATGATTTAATTTTTTTTAAAAAAGAATTATATGAATAATGTTAAATAAAAATGCATACAGAATTGGGAAATATTTTTCATTAAATTTGCCACTTATTCTAGTTCGATAAAATGCTTGTAAAGAAAATAACCACTTAAGGAAGAAGACTAGTCACATTGT